AAAAAAAAAAGATAACCAAAAATAGATATTTATTTTGGCTATTTACTGTGAGAGAAGTTAACCAGGCACCATGGGTCACGGGAATAATTAAGTGCAATACGAAATGAAAATCTATTTCTCTTTGACATAAAGGTAGATTGTCACTTGGATGTGATGATAGTGGTGATAGTGTAGCCTCAGGAGTAAAAGCCTCCGAGTTTGAAATGAACATTCTCAATGTGTAAGCTCTGCTAGACCAACTTGATAGAAAGCCACCCATCTCCACTGATGTATGTGTGCATATATTCCTGTTTGTAAGACAAAAGTAACAATACAGGTCCCTTGCCACACAATATGGTCTCTGAAGATTTATTAAGTGTTTTAGGGTACTATGAAGTTCTTGGGGGAGAAATATAAACGTACAGTCATCAGTATGTGAATTTCACTAAAGGTAACACAAAGGCGGCTGCTAAAAGGAACGGCAAGAATGGATGAGCAGGTGAAGTTTATTTTGAAACATAAAACGATTAGATTAATAATAACCTACAGAAATGAAATACTTGAAATTACCACCTCGACTAACTGTGCTGTGGTCTACTTCTTCCCGTACTTATTTGCTCTTGTTGAGTTGGCTTTACACTAAAGCATTGGACTGACCGAATGGTTGTGATGTTGAGCCCTTTTTTTCATTAGGGACGAACTGTGGAGAATTAAACAGAAGGTGTTACCTAGAATGCAGAGCCCGTCTGTGCAGTTTTCGGATTCCTGGCTTAGACCTTCACAGAATTTGCCCCCATTTCGAGGTGATGGTGCTGTGCACTCCCGGATCCGCAAATGCTCACACTCTGGGCTGCAGACTGACCATTCACTCCACACGTCCCAGCTCCCATCCACTTCAAAGAGAAACCAAAGAAACCATCATTAGGATGTGTGGGGCAGCTGTCAGGAGAGTGGCCCCAGGAAGGCTGTTGTTCTTAGAGCTGGATTTTAAAGAAATAACCACCACAACAAACCAATAATAGATCAGTTTATCTTCTCTCCATGGTTTCTTTCCTAGAATGATATCCTAACAAAAGCAGTGATATAATTCTCTTGCTATTTTAGGATGAGACCAATTACTGAATTTAGGCAAGCATTTGAATTACCAGCGCCTTTGGCTTGGCTAATAATGCCATTATATATCCATTCTCAGTTTTTCATGCCCAAGTGCATCTTAGACGGACAGATGAAATATGTGCCGTAATCACTGGCAATCAGTCACTTCTCTGAGGGCTGACACTTTAGAAAAAAGTAGAAGGAACTATCTTTAAGCCCTAAAAGCCCCTAAACAATAAGAACTTAAGCCCACATATATTGATAGCATTAAACTAAAACAGGTCAGTCAAACCCCAAGACACTCGGCCTTACATAAATAGAATTTCTTGGGTCATGGATTGCTGCTGTATAGAGAAATGAACAGGCAGAATTTAATTCCACTAAAAAGCAACCCTAGAGACTGCAGAAGCTGTTTGAGGCAATTGTCCCACGATCTCCCAGGAATAAGAGAACCATGCTTATGTGGGTTATTTAAGATATTGCAATTTTTAATCCAAAGCAATTAGCCCACCAGAAACCTAACAAAACAAAACAAATGCAGTGCCTTTGCGTCTATTCCAACTCACAGGAAACGGTGTTGTCGGGCTACCCAGGAGGCTGCTAATCACAAGATAAGCAGTTCAAAACTACCAGCTGCTCCACGGGAGAAAAGTGAAGTTTTCTGCACCAGAAAGATTTTCAAACTCAGAAACCCACAGTAGTGATTCTACTCTGTCTTACAGGGTCACAATGAGAGGAATTAGTTCATAGTAGAGAAACTTAATATAACAATTACTGAACTTGAAGCAAAATGCCTGTTATTTTCCTATTTCAAACAACTTATTGACAAAGCAACCCTAGGCATGCCATTTAGTCTCATGCTACCTTGCTGACGGCTAGGGATTATACAACTCACAACACAGAGTAAACGCGCATTATATGCACAAAGGTATCGGCACTGTATCTGGCACATAGTAAGCACTCAATAAATGCTTGCTGAGTCTGAATCAAACCAAAACCCCAAGATGTTGCTGGTGAGAGCTTCACCTTCCCTTTGGAAATTTTAAGAAAGTGAAACTCCAGTCCAGCCCAGTGTCCTTGGAGTTAATGTTCTATAGTGTGTGAGACCCAGGCTCAATTGCTCTCCCAGAGAGAGGACATGCTTTCCATAAAGGAAGTCATCTTCCACCTCATCTATTTCACACTGTATAAATTGGGCTACCATCAGGGAGAGATGAACAAAGGAACTTACAAAAGTCATCTTTAAGAAATAAATGTGATCTCTATTTGGCAAGGAAGGCAAGCATAGACCAAATACAAAATACAGACTGCTGTGAGAGTATATGATCTTTGCCAATTGCACTGTAAATAAAT